AAAAAAAAAAAGAAAAAAAAGAAAATTCCAGGCTCAGATGGCTCACTGGTAAATTCAATCACTGCTCTAAGAATAAACACCAATCTTACACAAACTCCTCAAAAAAATAGAGGAGGAAAAAATAGTTCCCAAATAATTTGATGAGGTTAATATCACCCTGATACAAGACCAGACAAATGGATCAAAAGGAAACTTCATCTGTGTCACGAGGGGGCAAAATTGTGATGTATGCAGTCGAGGGGAGAAATAAAGAATGTCCACATGCTTCTGCTCCTTCCTTTGCTTTATTCACTCAAATTACTTAATACAATTTCACTCTATAGGTTCTTAATCAAGAAAATGACAATCCTTAATGCTAGGCACTGCAATAGACATAATCAATTCACAGCAAACAATTCTAGATTAATTCTAAGCACTGCAAAGCACACTTAATCATGAGAGGCTAATGACACACATTTCCTCTGCATGCTAAGTTCAAAAGTCTTAAGCCTTAGGCTTTAAGTCCAGCAGATGCACACTCACTAAGACCGCGGTGACCAGATCCAGAACCAAGGCAGGCTTTTCCTGGCGTGGAGTGGATGACCAGTTGAGGAGGTGGTCGTAGGGAGGAGTTGCAACTCTCACCAAGGTCCAGACAAGGCCACAGAGTTTGAGAGCTGGGGGATCACGCAGAGGCTCAGGAACAAGTGATGGATGACATGTCCTCATCAGGCTCTCCAGCTCAAGTGCATCCTTGTTTTGGCTGGCTGAATCTCTGTTCATTTGCTCTATCATTTATACTAAATTTGTTGGCTTTTGACCCCCCTTTCAATCCTTATCAGCTACCACCAGATTTCTCAGTGGCATCATTTACCTTGGGGTCAGAAACATCTGGTCTGGTGGTCTCCACCCTGATCTTCTAGCCATTCCATCTTATCATCAGGTGAGCACAGCCTGCCAGAGGCTTCACTCTCTTTATCAGGGTGAGGGGAAGTAACTTGTTTGAGGCCATACTGGAGGGATCTGTGGGTGTTGCCTGGTGAGACTGCAGGTCAAACTGGAGTTTTTAAAATGGAGTTGTTTAGGCTCAGTCCTCAGACAATCCTAAAAGTCTGCCAATCTCTGGTACGAGTACAGATCCTCCAGTCAATACTCTATTCTACCAATGAATAAAAAGCTAAACAAACTGGAATCAACAACTCTTCCTAGACAAGAAAGGTCACAGGGGAAATGGTTATCCCCAGAATTAGAGAAACAGACAGGTAGACAGAATCACAACTTACCAGCACAGAAAACAGAAGGAATCAGTGACAGGTATGGCTACAAAAACCTGAAACGTAATTGACAAATAGGCAGAGGCTCCATTTAGAGAAATATGAGCATAAAGGCTACAAGGGAGGACTGGAGATGTAGCTCAGTGGTAGAGCATTTCTCTAAGGTTCATGAGGACCCAGATTCAATCCCCAGCACAGAAAAAATAAATAAAAACAAAAACTCAAGGGAGATCCCTGAACCCCTGGCTTTGATAACCCTAGTAACCAGCGTTAGCAGATGTGGGAAGATGAAAAGTAATGGGATGGAGCTAGGGGATGGAACACCACACCATTTTGAACAGCTGAAGAAATTGAACCAGGTCATCTTTCCAGTTAGCTACAATGACAAGTTCTATAAGGATGGTCAAGGAACTAGCAAAACTTGCCTGTTTCAATGATATTGCTGTAGGTGCAGTATGCTGCAGGGTGGATCGTTCTCAGAATCAGAAGGGACTTACCATCATAACACTAGAATGTCTTGCACCTTACTAAAGACTGGGAATAGGAACTGAAATATTAAACCACGTCTTAAACATCTGTGGAAAAGAGGCATTTTTGACAACATCTATCTGCACATCCAGATGAGCAATGAGTCAGAAATGGACTTCCAGGG